AAGATTATATAGTGTTGATAGTTCTTAAACCCCTTGGGGTTTGGAGCAGGGACGGAACTAGGATATCATTATCGGATGGGCCAAAAGAACAATAATTTTTTTTCACCATATACACAAAACACACCTGTATATACATATGATATATAAATTATATATATATATATATATATTAAATACCATAGAAGCAATTTCTAATAAGATGAATAAGTTTTTTTCCGTGTAAAATAGAAAGAGAATTCAAAATGGAAGAAGAATGGCATATATATTTTTTATACTTGGGAGCCATGTTATATATAAAATGATATATATATCTTTAAAGTTCCATGGCGAATAATAATATTCACAGAAACAGGGGGGGCATGGCCCCCATAGTCTTCTCCTAGTTCCGTCCCTGGTTTGGAGGTTTCACCTAATATTTAGATTAATGCACAATTATACAACAAAACCAACCCTTCAAACCCAAAAAGTGAAATTTCACACTTTTCAAACTGTGAGATTTTATAGTTTTTAAAATTTCAATGTTAAAATTGTGAAATTCCATAATGGATTTGTACACAGACACATCTCAGGGACGGACTTATATAACTGAAAAATATTTTTAACTAATACTAATACAATAAAGGTGGTTTTCGAAACCTAGAAAGCTGGTTGCGTCCAACCGTCCCTTCGGTCCATCTTATATATTATGTACTACTTTGCCATGGGGAAATGCTTATCCTTACCAGGACCAATGAGAAGAGAGTGAAGAAAGCACAAGTTGATCCCATGTCTTCAATCACTAATTAGAATTACTATTGAGTCCTTCTCTATTCTGCATGGTGGCTCTATGACCACTTGCTATTTATAAAGATTGATTAAGAAATATAAAGAAAACTATAAGCTGTATATGAAGCACAAACACAGATATAGATACGGTGATTTCAAACAAAATGGAGACACATTGGGGGGACACGGCAAATTATTATTATTTTTATTATACATATTTGCTATGTAGATTAATATTATGTTACCAAATAATCAAAATTAACAAAAACTAATATCAATTCAATATATATATAAACCACTACACTTAAACAAATAAATAGATTATCTATATTTGATCATGCATGTCCTCGCCATGTCTCCTACACAAACAAAATAAATAAATAAATAAATGGACACGCCATTTGGCATGCGTGTCCCTATTGTATCCCTGTCTTGTCCCTTCCGTGTCCCCCACAAAAAAATAATAAATTAAGGGGACAACCATTTAGCATGTCTCGTACGTGTCCCCGGCATGTCCCCATGTCCGACACCGCTACAGCGTCTATTTTGAAGTGTCCATACTTCATAGACCATAAGATTCATTTTGGTGAAAAAAAATAAAAATAAAAAAAATAAAAAAACAGGTTGATGATAATAATGGATAATAATGCATTGTTATTGATGAATTAGATGTCAGTACTCTCCATATTTAGGATTACTATAACACCCTGTTTGTTTTCAAAAGTAATGGATAATAATGCATTGTTATTGATGAATTAGATGGCAGTGCTCTCTCTGTTTATGATTACTATAACGCCCTATTTGTTTTCAATAGTAGAATGGAGGGGATTGATAGTGAGGACTTTAGTAAAATTGTGTTTGTTTTAATGATAGTTGTTAATATGGGGATTGTCAAATTATTTTTGTATAAAATAAATATAAAATAATAAAACAAATAAAATTATGATTTTTATTTAACAAAAAATATAAAATCATCAAACATTAATGTTCAAAAAAAAATGCCAAACATGTAAAAAATAAATAAATAAATAAAAAATTTGCAATTGATAGGCCGGACATCCCGGTGGACGACCAGTAACTCACTAAGCCGACAGACTATTTTCTAATACCACCTCTTCGCCCAAACTAATAATCCGCTCGCCCAAGGCCTATCCTAATCCGAACGGACTATCAATTCGGAGGGCCACAAACAAAACAAATGTGAGTTAAGCTCACTGTTCATCCATCATAGTCCGAAGTGGACTGCTACTCCAGAAAACAAACGGGGCCTAATATTGAGCTCTCTTTATCAGCACTAATGAGCATAAAATTAAGGGGACACACCATTTAGCGTGTCCCGTACGTGTCTCCGGCATGTCCCTATGTCTGACACTGTTACGGCGCCTATTTTGAAGTGTCCATACTTCATAGACCATAAGATTCATTTTGGTGGGGCAAAAACAAAAAAAAAAAAACCCATAATGTTAGGTTTTTATTCTTGGTAATCCCGTTTGACAAAACTCCTTTCAGTTGTACTTGTTTTCGCACTTTTATTTCAGTGAGGCTATGAGTTTTTAGATGCGAATCCAACCTGAATTGTGCCTTACAGAGAAGTTTGTGGTCCGCTGACTATGACTGCAAAAATGCATTCAAAGTTGCCTGTCCGCTTGAGTGGCCGTTTGTACGCTCGAGCGGAAAATGTTGGGTTCTAGAAGTTTGACCTGCCTGCAAATATACTATGAGGCGTGCTTTTACGCTCGAGCGTCCATTTCCCCCCTCGAGCGTACATCCTGGTTTGGAACACGCGATATAGGGTCCCTGCTCAAACGTCCATTCCCATGCTTGAGCGGACCTCGCGATCTCAGCCTCTATAAAACCTCAAGTTGCTCCAAATCTAGGGTTACGTTTTTCAGATCTTCTTTGAGGGTTTTAGGGTTTTCTTTCGAGACTATTTCGCTTGTTTTCTTTGATGTTTGATTGAGTATTCTACTCATGGTTTAAAAAGTATACATCAAAGGATTGTTTGTTTATGCAATACAAAAGAGAGTGTTGTTCTTTGGTAAATTCTGTGGAATTCGAGCCTAAAGCTTTGGTGGATTCTAGAGTGGTTCATCGTCGTGGATTCGACATCGGCATTGTGGATTCAACGTTGGGCAAGACAATTTCGAGGTGAAGACGGGGCTGGAAGAGGCACATACGGATCGGTTCGATTCAGGCGGGGATTCACTAGGTAATCGAGAGTACGCTTATGTAATTCTTTTATGTCTTCTTAGTGGATTGTTTGTGACTTTTCCCGTGATTTTTTTTATCACAATTGAAGGCGCTCTAATTGTGGTTTTTCCACATAAAATTATTGTGTCGATTTGTCTTAATTGTTTGATTGAGATTGTTATTTACTGCTTAAAATTGATATATAATCATAAATCAATATCTAGGGGATTTCTAGATTTTTTACATAAGATTCAGGTTGATGATAATAATGGATAATAATGCATTGTTATTGATGAATTAGATGTCGGTGCTGTTTATGATTACCATAATATTGACCTCTCTTTATCAGCAATAATGAGCTAGAATCCAAGAGGAAAAAGAGTTGTTTTAGTGTGGATTCGATATCTTATCTTATCTATTTTTGGAATATGACAAGAGTATGGGCCACGGATAATCAATCATCAAAGACAGTGTCCACTTCAATTGGCAATATTCATCTTCAACCTAGGAAATGCTTCTGCTTTGAACTTGGTTTTTTAATTAAAATCCAGATTTATGTGGAAATTTATCCTAACTATTTTTGAGATGTTTTGAACTTATGCACTGTTTGTTTTAGCAGAAAACACTTTCTATGTGAAATATTTTACAAAAAACGTCTTCCATATAAAATGATTTTTGTGATTAGTTGCAGCCTTGAAATTGATGAGCTGGTGGCAGTGGTGGCAGTAGGGTGGTGGTGTTAAGTCTCTAGTTTAGAAAATATTTTCCACATTTAGAAAAAAATAATCTTTTTTCTACCTTAGAAAAAAACTTGTTTTTTTCATTACCACGGAAAATATTTTTTGTTTACTTTATTTATTTATTTATTTATTTTTTTTTGTACTGAATGTCTGAAAATATGTAAAACATTTTTCTACTGAAAAGGGAGACATAAACAGAAACAGAAAGGGACAGAACAAGTATTTTCTAATTTTTAAATTTTTTCTTGAATAATCAAAAAGTTCTCCTTGGATTTTATAATAAAAAAATCTCCTTGATGGAGACGTCCTTTTGCAAATTGGAGCTGCATGCTTTATCCATATTGAATTAGCTGACTTCCTAATACTCTGTTTGTAGAAGAAACTGAGAAGAGCTTAAGGGAAAGAAGAAAAGATGGCCATTGGATACACTTCTTGGAGCGCCTTGCTTTATCTACTTCTTGTGATGGTAATATCTAAGCTATACATGTCTATATCCATCTGAAAAAATAAGCTGAGAAAATAAAGCCTTTTAACAATGCAAATCACAACGATGTTGTTATTGTAGCAGTAGTAGTATCATGTAGTAGTTGTTGTTAACTCCTTTTTTATTTTTTATTTTTTTTTTAATCTTTTACACTGTCAGTTCCAAGCCAAGATAAGGAAGAATGTTGTGTGTTAAGTAGCCTGATAGCACGTAAAAATTCTCATAAAACCCTTGTGAACATAAATCCTAATAAAATTATGTGAGTATGGTTTGACAAGGTAGTTGTTGTTGTTGTTGTTGTCATCATCGTTGTTATTTGTGTTCTTGTTCTTGCTCTTCTTGGTATTTTGGTCGAAATTTTCATGTGAAAGTTGGGATTCCTTTTGTCTTCATGAAAGGAAATGATAATAGTAGTGGTAGTTGTTGTTGCTGTTCAATCCGTAGTATTTTATCTTTTATACCAAGCCTGGATAAAGAGGGTTGTGGGTTTGGGAGCTGGACAAGTAGTAAAATTCCAGTCAGATCTTTTATGAACGTAATCTTGATATGAAGATGCATGTATGATTTGGTTTAGTAGTTGCTATTTCTGTTGTTAGAGGGATTTCAGAACACATGGAAGTTTAAATTATTTCATTACATTAAGAATTTACACTACTTATTTCAGTTTATCATCAAAGTTTGAAGAAACATTCTATCATTGGATGTTTTCTTTACCTCTTTCCATACCATGCTTACGCAGTACTTTAACAAAATGCTAGTTCTTATTTTTTCAGACTTTAAAATATCCCACTAATTGTGTTCTTCTTTTTGGAAGACCTAAAGGTAGGAAAAAAATTTCCATGTACTTCCCAAAGAGAGACCCTTCTTCCTCTCCTCATTTCCTACCCAAAGAGGAATCCGATTCCATTCCTTTCTCACTAGAACAACTTCCAAATCTTCTTCGAATCTTTTCCTTCCCTCAAGGCTCTCCACAAGCCCAAGCCATGGAAAGCACATTTAGACAATGTGAGGTCAAACCCATCAAAGGAGAGTCAAAAACATGTGCCACATCATTAGAATCCATGCTTGATTTCGTACGTGCCATGCTCAGATTAGAGAGCGAATTCAAAGTTGTATCAACTATCCACTTCACAGAATCAACCACCATTCTTCAAAATTACACTATCCTAGAAGATCCTCTAGAAATTTGTGGTCCCAATAAGATGGTGGCATGTCATACCATGCCTCACCCATATGCAATTTTCTACTGTCATTACCAAGAGAGCGAAAGCAAGGTCTTTAAGGTCTTTTTGGGGGGTGAAAATGGAGACAGGGTTGAAGTGGTTGCTGTTTGTCACATGGATACCTCTCAGTGGAGCCCTGGTCATGTGTCATTTCAAGTACTGGGAATTGAGCCAGGGTCCTCCCCGGTCTGCCATTTCTTCCCATCTGATAACCTTGTGTGGATTGCATCATCTACTTTAATTAGTTATATGTAGTTTGCATGTAATCAATGAGATCCTTGCACTTTGATTTACAATTTTACTTGTGTGCATGTCCAGTGAAACGAAGATCGTGTTATGCAAGTGTTTTATGATTTAAGAATGTGTAATAAAATAATTGGGACCAAAGACAGCTATTTCTGCTTCTATTTTTCTATTTTGTTGCAGTTTCTTAAACTAATTAGTCTTATTCAGTTGGTTCAAGTATTCTAAGGTAATTCTAAATCATATGGGAATGTTTCGTTGTATTTTCATTTTTTGTATGTGTACTCATTTTCTGAAAAACTGTTTTTGATTTTAATTTTTTGTTGAAAACAACTCAATTTTCAGGGACAGACATTTTGCACACAAAAAAGAAAGTAATGGGTGTTTATGAACTTTTTATGTTAATGAAAACATAAAAACAACTCGCTTCTAATTTTTTTTAAAAATATTTTTAGACGTCTTTTGAAATCATCACTTACCGTTATGCTGTGTTTTAGACCTCAATTTGGAACTTGCAATTCCCCTAATTGTTGGCAAATGAGGATGACTTATTCATATTCTTCTGGTTATGAGTTTTTAGAAAAAGGCCGAGTCTCAAAGTAAATTGTCATTTCAACAATTTCAAAAAAGACAGATGAAAACCAATTTGCGGAATTGCGTGTGACCATGAAAAAGAAAAAAACTGAAAATAGGAAATATGATTTGCGCATGATCAAACCCATAAGTTGCTCTACCTGTCACATTGTTGCTGCAAGTATTCCCTCATGACTGGTTTGAAGATTAATTTCCCAACATAATCAATGTGATTTTTGGACTAAATGTAAGTTAAAAATGATGTTTTGATGGTATAGGACTTCACTTTCCACACACTGTAGACAAAATTTAATGGTTATATAGTCATCCATTTGAGTTGAATATTCCTATATCTAGGCAGAACCATATTCCAAAACGCCGTCTTTTTTTTATTATTATACTAATAGATCGATAATAGCTAGCGTGGTTCTTATGCTGACAGGTTCTTGCATACATAGACTGGTTGGCCTTTTGCTTTGTTTATGCCGATATAGTGTAATATATATTTACATCCATAAAAAATAGTTTGGTTGCTAATTTATTGCTATTTTTGTAAGAAGTTGTAGCCTATCTCTTTCTTTCTCTCTACGTGCACACACGCGGATGCTCAAACACAGGGATAAGATAAGAGGGGAGAAAAACAATGAAATCATATTGTTGCCTCAAAACATTTTTCTCTCTACGTGCACACACGCGGATGCTCAAACACAGGGATAAGATACGAACATCATTTTTTTAACTACAATGAATATCAAAAGCATCAATCTTAACCGCCTCTTTGCATATAGGGCAAAACTGCTTATATCTGATCTGACCCTTTCCAGACCCTATAGTGGCGGGAGGTTCATGCACTGGGCTGCCCCTGTGAAAAATATTTTCCATTGGCAATTCTCACTAGCTTTCAACAAATACCACTACAGACACAGTTTAAACAAGACTAAAATGAAGCAACGGCACGTGGCACCAATATGTTGGAAGACTTTTATGCTTTTAACTCGTAAAAAAATTAGAACTTCATCTCTAATCTAGAGAGTTGACTCCCCTTTATGATCACATATTGTAAGTTTTTTTTATTTTTTATTTTTAGAGGATATGTATGTGGCACCTCAATTGTTGATTCTGAAACTTTTTTCGAACTTACTATATATGTGGGGGTAGGTTTGTTATGGTCCTAAATTATTTATATTGTTAGATCATTCATGTAGTCAAAATGATTGAATTCTATAACCTTATCAAGAAATAATTAATTGCACTTCCTAGATGAATCTATTGGTAAATGTCAACCAATCAAGGCATGGAAGAAGTATGTCTGACCTATCTACAGTTGAATACCATCTGACTAGCAAGTGGGTATCCAAAAATAAATAAATATACAAATAAACAGTAAATATGTATACTTTTTTCTTCTTTAAAAAAAAAAGTGGCTCTTATTCCTTCATGCACAGTATCTTTCTGTTGCAATGAAGTTTTTTAATGTCTCTGAAGAATCAAAGTTTTGTAAACCTTTTGGTTTGTATCTGTAAGTGTCCAGAACATGATCATCAAACTGCCTTAAATTTTTGAAAAATAGAATTTTAATTATGGGCTAGAAGACAGAATATGTAACCTTAGTAGTTGAAGAATATTTTTTTGGGGGCATTGCTCTCTCAGAGCCTGTACTGTTCTATTAGATTGCAAGATGCAAGAAATGTTTGACTTAAAAAGATGTACTTTATACCCAAATCAAAGCCCAAAAAAAAATTTTGAAATCGAGGATACATATTTTACTTAAAATTTTTAGTTCATGTATATAGTTTGTCATGGTGAGTCTCATCAAATTTTAAATATAACCAGTCTTATATGAACACATATAATGATGTAGATAAACGTAGAATCTAAAATAAAATCATAAAATATATCTGGTGACAAATATTATTTTTCTTATTTTATTTGTTGTCTAGAGTTATCTTCTCAATTTTCATATGCTTATTCAATCATTTTGCACACAGGATTATTAATATAGCTTTGTCAATTTTCAAAACCAGAAAAATGATTAGCTTTTGACTTCTTAAAATTGGATTTATATAATGAGCTAGGCTACAAAATTCAAATAGAAGAAGCTTTTTCAAGATTAGTGTGCATGAAAGGGACTAAAGTTGAAAAAAAAAAAAGGGATATAGAAAAAGCTGCATTAGTTTGTGCTATATGGAGAGCTATGTCATCCTTCCTTAGGTTTCGGTGTTTGACTTCATAGCAATAGATTTTATCAATGACCTAAGCTACAAATTTCAATAGGAGAAGATTAGTGTACATGAAAGAGACTTTTAAGTAATAAGAGGAAAAAAAAAACAAAAACAAAAAAAAAGAGAACAGCAAAATATGCATTAGTTTGTGCTATATATGGAGAGTTTTGTTAGGCGATAAATTATTTAGTGGTTCATATGCTGTAGATAGTTCTTCACATCATTCAGCAAATGCTACATAACCCTACATAGATGACCCTCACTTTTAAGGTCACAAAGTGATACGACCACTGTGAAGATGTTGAAATGTCTATAGCGCTATGTACAATGCTCTAGAGCACCAAACTAATTTTTGGGTTAGGCTCTGTTACTTGGTAAGAGCAACATAACAAATTTTGATCTCACATCGTATCAATCATTTTTAATTAAAGAATTTGTTGTGATAATGTTATTGTACTTGATGTATTTGTGGGCAAAATGACCACCAAAATTTATATATATAAAATATGGATATTGAATTAATCATAGAACAAACTTTGAAACAAGCATAACATGTTCGATAGTTGGTTTTGTGTCTGTAGAATTATTAAGCGAAGAATGCACTGACTTTATAGGTCATTTACTCAATATTCCAATAAAAAAACGAAATTTATCTTAGCAGCAAGGTTACCTGCAACAACATGCCATGTCTCTATATGTGAGTGTGCGTGTACAATGCATGTCTCTTTGATTCTACTACATATACATATATATATGTATATATTATTTTTTAAGACATGACATGAATATGCATATATATAGACCAATCATGTGAAGTAAAATAAAATTTGTCGCATTTATTCCTAATAAAATAATTTTTTTTAAAAAAAAAACTTCCTGTATTCCAACTCCAAAACCAGTTCAGTTTATGACTTAGTCCAATCCCTTTTATTTCAGAGACAGAAGAAGATCAAAAGAAAGAGAAGAGATGGGTTCTCAGGTAATAATGGCCCTTCCATTTTTATTAGGATTGTTTTAGCTTAATTTCAGCTGTCTCTTTTCTTTTTTTTCAGCTTTGTTTGTTTGTTTGTTTGTTTGTTTGTTGCTTCGTGTTTTCCTGTTCCCCTCTTTCTTGTTGGATGAACAAAAACAGAAACACACACACACACAAAAAAAAAAAATTAATTGAATTTTAAAAAATGTACACTTTTCATGATATACCTTTCCTCTATCAATCATTCAATTGTACATAATTTTGAAAAAATGTTCTTGTATGTCTCTAGTCACTCTGCTAAGCTCATGCTCACTGGAAATTTCTAAAATTTTCTCCAAAATCAAGAAAGTTCTGTACCTTGTCGTGGATGGTTTAGTATTTTACAAAAATGCTATGCTTCTATGAAAAAATAAATAGTAAAGTACTTAGAATTTGAATATGTACCTCTATGGTGTGCCGTGGGTCATACACAGAATAAATTTGATTCACACATTTCAAATTTGGACACTTTTATGTTCATTTATTCTAGCTAGGTAGCATTGCTGGTGTTTTTAGCATAAATTTTTCAGAGGTTAATTTGAAAACTATAATTTGCTTTTCTTTGAAACTAATTCTTCTATGATTTTAATCACAGTGCACCCACACCAATTGCATCAGAGAGATTACCCAGAAAACCTGGAAAGATGCTAACAAAGAGGCATCTGATTTGCAACAAACTGCCATTGACAACGATCTTCAAATTTTCTTCACTGTTGATGATCTAAAAGCTGGGAAAACAATTTCCATCTATTTCCCCATCAAAGACCCTTCAACCACCCATCACCTACTCACTAGAGAAGAAGCCAATTCAATCCCTTTCTCATCATCAAAACTTCCACAGATTCTTGACTTTTTCTCATTCTCCAAACACTCCCCACAAGCCAAAGCAATGCAATACACACTCTCTCAATGTGAGCTTGAACCCTTAAAAGGAGAGACTAACTTTTGTGCTACCTCCTTAGAATTCATTCTTGACTCGGCTCATGGCATGTTTGGTCTGAAAAAAAAATTCAGAGTTTTAACCACCAAGTACCTGTCACGCCACAATGCTGTTTTGCAAAACTATACTGTTTTGGATGTGGCGAAACTCCAAAAATGGTGGCTTGTCATGCCATGCCTTTTACCCTTACGCTGTTTTTTACTGTCACGGGCAAGAGAGTGATCACAGAGTGTTTGAGATGGCACTGCGTGGTGGCAATGATGGGGAGAGAGTGGAAGCTGTTGGTGTTTGCCATATGGATATGTCGGAGTGGGACCCGGATCACGTCGGTGTTTCGTGTTCTCAGGACTTGGCCTGTAC